CAACTCCCAGAGTTCCTCAGCCAGCAAAGCTGGCTGAGGAACTCTGGGAGTTGAAGTCCACAGGTCTTAAAGTGGCCAAGGTTGGAGACCACTGCAGTAGAAGATAATATTTGTAGCTCAGGGTTGAACTGGAGGGATCCCTTTTTTTTTTTTTTTAATTTTTTTTTTTTTTTTTTTCCCTCTTAAAACAAAATTTCATCATTCATTAATCAGTGTGTTGTCTGAGTACAAAAATTTTTGGGGTCCTCATAGTTATAGCTTACCACCAAATTCTTTATATTCTTATTTTTACGTCACAGCTTAACATATCTCCTGTTATAACATTTTTCTTCCTAAATTATTTAAGTTTATGCATTTTATCCATATTCATCTTTTAACCGATGATAAAATAACCCCTATATATTATAATAATTGGATTCTTCCTTTCCTTTAATTGCTAATATTAATCTGCTCGTTTCTGCACAATCTAATATTTTCTTAATCACATTTTCATCTTTTGGGAGTTCTTTAGCTTTCCAATCTTTTTGCAACCTGGGAGGGGGGTTCCTTGATACTCTCCGAGCTTGGTGGTTTTCTTGCAGATGTTTCCTATCCAGCTGGGTTACGGGAACCTCTTCAAGAAAACCGGCAAACTCACAGAGCAGCAAAGGAGCCCAAGGTTTGTACTACAACTACCATCAGCCACAGCTATCTAGGCGACCTCAGGATGGTCAAGGCTGTTTGAAAGAGGGAAAAGGCCTTTTGTATCCATAGAGGCGGCTGTTTTTCTTTTAGCCAATAGTTCTTTTTTGCATTCCCTTCTTTTTATCCGTGCCAAATTTTGCTTTGCAACTGTGTCTCTCCTTAGCAGAGGTGAGACTGGCTGAAAGAACAAACCCAGCATTCAAATACTTGAAAGAATCCAAATCTCTTTTCTGGTCTCTTAAAAGACCACAAGGTTGGTGCCAATGGAGTCTGCTGGGGAGGCTCTTTCAGGACCAATCTGTGGGCTGGCTTCTCTCCCCCTCTTCCCCGGTCAAATGAGGAACCTAGGAATGTGAGTTGAATGCTACCAGCTGTTTTTGTGTTGGTGGCGAGTAGTTTTAAGCAGAGGCTGGACAGACACTTGTTTGAAACGGTATAGGATCTCCTGCTTGAGTCTGGGGTTGGAGTAGAACAGGGTCCGCAGAAAAATTATTTGCATTTTTTATATTGCACTAAATCAGGGGTCCTCAAATTATGGCCCCTGGGCCGGATATGTGTTGCTGCAGAGACTCTCCCACTTTGGGGTCTTTTTGTGTGGATCGGGCGGGAAGAAATTCTGACTTGGGGTCTGCTTCAGCCTCCTGATGGGGGGCTTTTGGGCAAAGGCTGGAGGGAAGCTCCGCTGGTGGTGAAGAGCCGGAGGGCCTCGTTCCAGTGGGACTGCATCATAGCCTGGAACTGGCTGATCATCTCAGCCAGCTGAGGCTCCAGGTGCTGATACCTGGCCTTGCACTCCCACAGGTCTTCCCTCTGCTTGGAAAGCCTACGCTGGTAGGTGAGGGGAGGGGGTGCTCCCTAGAAGGAAGCAGAATGTAGGGAGTGGGTCAGGGTGAAACACCAGCTGTAATTTTAATTTCCATTCAGACTTCAAATTAATTTTAAATCCGGTTAACATAATTACTGGCCTGATGTTTAATTATTTCTCCATTTTGCCGGGTGAAAATGACAGTGTGGGTGGCGGTTGTAAGTAGCCTTTTGGAGACCCTCAAGAGATGTTAAGATTAGTTTCAGAAGAGGTGGAATACCCAGAGCTGCTTTTTCAAAAGGCAACTGGACTTTTGGTTTTCTTTGAAGAGGTTTTGCTTCTCATACAAGAAGCTTCTTCGGTTCTGAAGAGAAGGAACACTGAAGAAGCTTCTTGAATGAGGAGCGAAAGGTCTTCAAGGAAAAAACAAAGTCCAGTTGCCTTTTGAAAAAACAGCTTTGGACAACCATGACCTGGATGATTGAAAATCATGGGAAGCAGAATAGTGCTCCATTGCTCTGGGGAAGGAGAGCTGGCAGATGTCTATGGAGATTCTCAGTCATCCAGGTCATGGTTGTCCCCAAAACAAAGGCAACTTCCTTTCTTAATTTTTTTTCTTGGAAAACGTTTCGCTTCTCATCAAGAAGCTTCTTCAGTTCAGCAGGTGGACTTGCTTGTTTTTATCCAGTTTTCCTAGCTTTTCTTTAAGTAAGGTGGCCACTGGAAGTTTACACTTTGACCAGCTGCAAGTTCAGTCACCTTTCTGTTTTCTAGTGGGGAATGTATAAAATCCAGAGCGTACACGTTTGGCAAAATAATTTCCACTGGTCCAATCTTCAGTGTAGTTGTTTGTCAGCTTTCATTCATTGCTACCAGGTGCACAAAACCAAACAGAACTCGAAAGGGAGATCTGTGGAAAAGGACACAAAGTTAAACAAGCTTTGAGTTTGTTTTAGTCTTAACTTGGTGATAGTGGAACTGTCCATGATTAGGACTGGGCTGGGAAGAAAGTGTTGTGACCGAGGCTTCCCAAGAGCATGAAGCAAACTCCTGCTCCCAACAAAAAAACCCTTTTTAAAATCTACTGTGAATTCTGCTCATTCACATCCAGTAAAGTCTTTCAAGGGAGGATTTACAGTCACAGACCTTCTCTGGCTTGGAGAGCTGCCAGGCTGATATCTGTAAAACTTGACAAGGAGCCTCAGAGACTCATGAACCAATTGAACAAACTAATTGTCTCCTGCAAACTCCACTCCCCCTTCACTGCTCTTTTATTTCCTCTGGGAGGGGCCATTCATGGTCCACCTGTGGCCTTCCTCCCAAGTCGACCCCTGTTCTTTAGCTGCTCCCTTCATCTGACAACTCTGTGCATGTGCACACTGGGAACCTGCTCCAGCTGTTCATCTGCCTCACTGATGTCTGACTCTGAAGGCATCTGATAACTGGCATATGGCTCTGGCCCCCTCTCTGCCCCCGACACAGAGCCCTCGTCAGAGCCTTCCCCGGACTCCAGGACTGGCCCATGTTCCTCATTGTCCGAATCTGCTGCCAGCTCTGCTGGCGGGCCACAACAGAAAATGACACAAGGACAAAAAAAGGCAGGGAAACCAGGAAGATTAAATTCTGGGGTCTGGAGGCATTGAGACTGCAGTGAAATATAAGAAAGTTTGTCACCCACACTGGATAGTGGCCTTCCAATCTCATTTTTGGGGTCACCAGAGCTACTCCCCACCACCCTTGCTGCAATTTGGTAAGTGTTCTCACCACTCTCCATAAGACTACTCACTTTAAATGATGTGATGTTTTACTATTTTACTAGAAATCAGGATTTTGCAGAAAGCGAGCCAAATTACATTGGACTAGTGCATTGCTCTGGACAATTGAGCAGCATAGATTACTTAGACCAGTGATGGCTAACCTTTTCTGGTCTGAACCCCAAAGATTCAATGCTTGCCCACTGCCGTCTGCCCCCCGCGCAGCAGAGACCCGAAAACCAGCTGGCTGGCGGGAGCCACATGTGCATGCGCAGAGGAGCTGAGCTGGGGCGATGGCTTGTGTGCCCGCAGAGAGGGCTTTGAATGCCACCTGTGGCCTGCATGCCATAGGTTTGCCATCACAGACCTAGACTGTTTTTTCAATTATTTTGAAGATTGTGATGTGTCTCTTGGTCTGAGCAACCTTCAGAATAAGGAGGAGTGTCTAATACAAGAAGGTAAAGAAATTAAATTAATCCGAACTAAAAATAGATGCTCTTGAAAAAAGTTTATGAAAATTCTCCCTCCCTTCCCCCATTTCTGCCAAAGGAGCATTTATGGTGGAGACCAGTTATCCAACTCTGGTGATTTCTTGATGTGCAGATAGCAACTTCCGATAGTAATGGTTCTATTGGGGAATTCTGAGAGTCAAAGGTCAAACATCTGGATGTGGCCAAGCCTTAGCAACGAGGCAAAGGGATTGAGTTTTGAGACTGCCGATCCCATAACTGCTTGCCATTGGTCCTGTTTAAGAATAGAATAGAATTCTTTATTGCCCAATTGTGATGTTTGTCATTGATGCAGATGCTCTTAATGGACATAAAAAGACAAGATACATTCATCAAGAATCATAAGGTATAACACTTAATGATAGCCATAGGGTACAAATAATCATATTAGGGTACAAGCAACAAAATTACAGTCATACAGTCATGACGTGGGAGGAGAAGACTGCTGGGAGTTGAAATCCAACAGATCAAGAGAGTCAAAGATGGTTCTGCCACTGGTGTAGATAATGCTACTAGCAAACTGGAAGCCCATTAATAAAGCTCATTGATGGGACCCTCAGATGTTGATGAATTCCAGGTGCCAGGAAGCTCATCTACAAAATTAAGACAATGGTGGGTTGTTACCATAATCCATAGTTAGTCACCCCCCTATAATTCTAGCACTTCATGGTTTTTCTTAAAATCTTTTATGAAGATAAGAATGTTTTTACGGCATGCATCCCTCATCCAGCACCATCATTGGACCTTCAGTGACTCTTTCCAAAGATAATTATTTCTAGCAATTTCATTGGGAGAATAACATTCTTTCTCATTGTTTTTTAAATTTAAAACAAAGACATTTTTGGGGGGGAAAAAGGTTAAGATAATTCCTGAAAATAGACAATTAATGCTCCATTTAACCTTAAGAGACACTGAGCAGAATATATTGAGTTGTTTTCATGATATTAAAAAAGAAATGTAATTTTTTTGAGCTTAGTAACAAAATCTGTGCTACATTGTTATTTATAAATGTTTAAAAACAAGCAAAAAAAAAGGGGGAACTGGACCAAGGTTTTTTAAGAAGGTGTTACTCCTCCATCACTCACACTTAGTCCTCGCTTGTGACAGGCAGAGCCTAGCCAAGGTTTTTTAAGAAGGTGTTACTCCTCCATCACTCACACTTAGTCCTCGCTTGTGACAGGCAGAGCCTGGCTTCCCAAACGTTGGGCCCAGAATGGCAGGGTTAATGCAGGATCACTGCACAGCCATTTGAGTGTGATGGCTGTAAGCCTCCTGCTCCTGAACAGGAAGTTGGACTAGGAAGTCCCTTCCAACCTTCTGCTTCTATGTTCTACGATTCAATCTGCTATGTTCTTTCTAAACAGCTTCTGATGCTCGTGAGATAACCAAATCTCACCCTGAATCTTTTGTGTTTTCACCCTGAACTCTCAGAAGCTTCGGGCTTTCTTGTCATTCTTCATTTTTCTCCCTTGCAAAAACACGATTCCTCCGGTTGTGACGTTGCGTAACATTGTGCAAGCGGGCCCCATGTTTGAACAGGTTGCT